AACAAACCGCCCTGGGCAAGGAAGCCAGGAGGACCTCAAGTAAAAAAAAAAAAAAAAAAAAAAAAAACAAAGGCCTGGGTCACCTGGGCCCTGATTCTCCTCCCCTCTTCCTCTGGTTGTATTTTCTGACATCAGAAAGAACCAGCAGGAAAGAGCCCATCCTCTTGCAACCTAATGACACCTCCCATGCCCTCCCACCTGGGCTTCTGACCTGCATCCTCCTGGAGGCTGGAAAACCACAGCTCCAACTGTTTGGTGCTGGAGGAAAACGGAAAGGAGGTAAATTCGGGGAAGAGGTGAGGATGAAGGATGATATTGGAGAAGGGAGGCCTCTGGAAACATGGGGTACCCACTACTACGTCCTATCCATGAGGTACTGGTGGTTCCAAGGCCAAAGAGCAATGGGAAATGTCCACTCACTTGAGGAGGCCCAAGATGAAAGCGTGGAAGCGGCTGCGGCTGCTACTGAGCGGGGCCAATCGGCTGACCTGGCTATACAGGGATCCCATCGAATGCGTGCAGGAACCTGAGGATAAGGTCCAGGGTCAGTCAGGTCCAGGCCCTGCTCCCATTGGATGCCACTCCCTCACAGCTCACCTGGCTTCACAGATGCCTCCACCACGCTCCAAGGGCTGCTCCTGCGCTGCCCAGTGATGAGGTCCTTCCGGAATGGCTTCAGTCCATCAGCCACCAGAGCATGGAGGGCCGGGCAGAGGGTGGTCAGCACCAGATGCCCCACATCCGGGCTCAGCCGGCTATCCCCCAACTGGGCCTGGGGTCAGCACAAAGCGAGCGGTCCAGAAGCATGGCTAGCCACAGCTTGCCAAGCGTTCGGGCGCCCTTTCACCTTCCTCAAAATAAACTCACCTTCTGAACCAAGTTCCGAGCAGCCCCAAAATGCGAGATAATTTTGTCCACTGAAGCACTGACAGCTATCAGGAGACCTGGGTGCAGATGGAAGGCACATCAAAGCCCCTGGTCAAGGGGTGGGGATGGTGGGGGAGCGGGAGGGGAGGGGCGGGGGCACAGATAGCTGAAGACCAGGCAGGAAGGGTGGAATACCTTTCTTTTGCTCCTGCAGCTGGCCAGTCCCACTCTGGGATTCTGCCATCCACAGCCGCGGGGCCCCGGGAGCACCGGCAAACGACCAGGAACTGCGCACTACGTAAGGGAATAAGGACGCAATGACGCTTTCTTACCAAGAGTTACAAGGAGGACTCGGTGGTTTGGGAGTCGGACGGGGGGGGGGGGGAGGGGAGGTAGAACACAACCTTGGGACGCAGAGCGGAGTGCACAGTCTTAGGCAAACCCCAGCCCTCGCCACCCCCACCTCGGTTCCCATTGCCCTTCCTCTCCGGGAAGTCGGGGAGGCACACCAACCAGCTGGGCCTTTAAGTAGGGAGATGACTGGGTGAGGAAATCGAGGGCTGCACCCACTCTGAGCACGTGGGAGCCTCGACCAATGGAAAGAGAGACAGACAGCCGGGAAAGGGTGGAGTGTCTTGGAGAACCCATGTAGTCACCTTGCACCTTGTCTGTGCAAGATTCCAGCTTCACCCTACTTGGGGGCGGGATTCGTGGGGGAGGTGTGGCTAGAACCTCCTGGGAGGGGACAGTGGGTCAGAACCACCGCAGCCCGAGAACTTCCCTAGTGGAGGAATTCCACAGAAGGTGTGACCCCAGGTCCCTAACAATGGACCCCTTAAGGTTAGCGGGAGACCGGGTAGAGCCGGCTGTTCAGAGAGGAGAGCAGTCATGCTCCTCACCCCCAGAACAAGGAGCAAGGCCAGCCTCCCCGGAACTAACGAGTCCGCTGGGAATCTGCCCAACTCCAAGGGCGAGATCTAGCCAGATACCCTAGAAAAAGGCTAAAACGCAGGCTGGCCCAGGACAGGAGGGGTGGCGGGCCGAGGCGCGGCCCGCGGGACTGGCCCAGGTCCGTCTTACGTTGCCTGGGTGGAGGCGGTGGCCTTCTGGTCCAGCGAGGGGCGGTCGGAGGACGTGGTGGTGTTGGCAGCGGGGGGGCGGGAACCTGGCGGGGTGGGGGCGCCGCGGCGGGGAAGGTGCTACTTCTGGGGAAGAGCGGAGATAGCAGCAGGGCCAGCTCGGGGCTGGCCAGGCAAGGCAAGGCCCCCCGCGTGGGAGGAGAATAGGCTCCCACTGGGGATAGGCGCACAGGCAGCAGATGCTCCTCTGGGGGACTCGCTGCCCCCAGCAGCTGCAATCGGGAATTGGGCCACCCGGTTAGAGGCGTCAAGAGCAGGGACCCGGGTGCACCCGCGCCCCCACCCTCCAACAGGGGGCGCCCGTCGGCCGAAAACCGGAAAACCGGGGGCCGAGGGAATAGCGGGGGACCGGCTGCAGGCGGGATTGGCGGGGCCAGGTGCAGAGGGGGAGGGCAGCAGGGCCAACAGCCAGGCAAGGAGGGGCGGGAGAAAGAGGAGCAAAGAGTTAGTCCCTTCACTCCAAGACCCACCCAGTTTCCCTTTCCCCGAGAGCGCCCTGGCCTTGGAGCAGGGAGGACACCGCAGAAGGAAGGGACGAGGGGCGGGCTCAGGACCCGCCCTCCTGCGGGTCTGTGCTTCTTACCCACGGCGTGTGCGCGCGGCTCCTCGGGTTCCCGCGCTGCGGGGGCCTCCTCGCCCACTGCGGGGCTGCCAGCCCTGCCCTCCTCCGGCAGCCCCTCGGCGATGGGCTGCAGCCCAAGTCGATTCTTCTTCCTCCGCGGAGGGACGGGAGGGGGAGGCGGTCGAGGCGGGACCAGAGCCCACCCAGCCGGAGGGTCCCTGGGCGGGACTGGCGGCGGCTGGGCTCGGCTTCGCGACCGGAGTTCCTTGAAGGTGGTGACTTCTCGGGGAGGTGCCAAAGAACCTCCCAGGGACCCAGTCGGCGGGAGCTCCGTGTCAGGCGAGAAGACTATGAGCCAGTCGCTGCGATCTTTCTTGGCCTGCGGCACAAGGGGCAGCCCCGGACCCCTCTTTCGCTTCTGGGCCAGCTCATGGAAGGACGTGATTGTCCGATGGGGCACCGGCTCCTGGCTGACGTCACCTCTCCATCCCCCATCAATTTTCCCTGCATCTATTTTCGAACCAGAATTGGTGTTCAAACAAGAAGCCAATTTCCCAGATTCCGTTTTCAAGCTCGAGCTTGTATTTTCATCGATTTTCCAACCAGAGTCACTGTTCTCGATGGTTTTCCATCCAGCCTCGGTTTTCTCCGTGTCAATTTTCCAAATGGGGTTAATTTTCCATCTGGGCTCTGCTTTCCCTGCGTCGATTTTCCCATCTTCGATCTCTGAGAGCTCAGAGGTAGCAAGATCCTGTTCCCCACTGTCTTCCTCTTCCTCCAAGCCTGGGGAAGGTAGATCCTGGCAGGTGGTCAGGGCGTTGCAGTTGGAGTCCAGGCCAGGTCCAGGTGGGGAAGATATTCCGGAGCAAGAATCAGGAGAGCAGCAGAAGCTGTCCGGAGAGCAGGTGCCAGGGCCCGCTGAAGCCAGAGGAGAGCCCAGCTCCAAGGGGAAGATGCTGGACTGAGGGTGGGCATCCTCATTACCAGGCAGGTCACGAGAGTAGACGGACACTGGGGACTCGTCAGGGCTAAGATCTGAGCAGGAGCTGAGAGAGGAGGAGCAACCCGGATCTGAAGGAGAGGCGGCCTCTTCCTCCTCCTGGGAAGGGTCCTGCTGATTTTCTATGCTGGGCCCGTGGTCCTGACAGCATCTGCAGGGCACAGCTGGACTGTTGGAGTTGGCATCCACCAGGGTTCCGCTGCAAGCCCCCCTGCTTTCCTTGCCCCCTGTGTCTCCAGGGGGAGGGGGTGTGCTCAGAGGCCCCTCTCGTAGTTCAGGACGGCGGGACAAGTGCAGGCCTAGGGAGACATGCTGAAGGTGGATGTGATTGAGGTTGCAGAGTAAAGCCCGCTGAGGGGACAGCATGGTGTTGAGGACGAAGGATGGCTTCCAGAGAACCAAGCAGATCCAGCCTCTCACATCCACCTACCTGGCAATTCAGATGCAGACCTAGAAGGCAAGGGTGGTTGAAACCCAGATACTGAGATTGCAGGCAAAGGCACTGGAGGTGACTGAGGACTAGAGCTGACCTGGGAAGGATCTGGATGCCTTGGGAGATATTTAAATGAGATTCAAATCACCACGAACAGGCCATTAGTTTCCACTGCAGTATTTGCTGGTGGAGTGGAACATAACCTCCAGGGAACGGAGAAAGGAGGGTCATCAGAGAATGCGGTTGAGCTATGATCTTCTTAGGGGTTTGGAGCTTGAAAAAGAGCAGGGCCTAGAGTATACCCCAATCCTTTCAAATCAGCACTGCCCTCCAGCCTACCCTCCTTCCCCACCCCCATCCCCCCACACTCCCACCCCGCGAGGAAGGAGACCCCGCCCGAAAGCTCTAGGCAGGTGAATGGTGGGGAACAAGGCGAAGGATTGGTTTGCTAACGAAGAAGAGAGGTCTGGGCTGGAGGAGGAGAAAGCATTCGGCTTGTCAGCTCTGCATCCGCCCCAGTCCCAGTCTAGCTCTAGCCTGCAGCCTGTGTGCCCTTACCCGCTCTCCATCTTCCAGCCACCACCCACCCCTTCCCCATTCAGTTTTACAGCTTCATTCCTGTACCTCCATCCACCCGTCCATCCATCAATCCACCCCCACAGACCGAGCCCTCCTCACCTGCGATCCTCCTGGAATCAACCCAGCCTTAGACTTGTCTGTCTGCATCCCCGCCCAGCGGGGAACAGGGCGAGGGACGCCAGCAAAACCCACTGTGGCTGCGCAGCCGCACCCCTTCACGCATGGGCGTGGCATAGCTCAGGCCCGCCCCCAACCCCCACGCAGCACTTGATGCTGTGTCTACGTCATCCATATAGAATGCTTCAGCTTAGGGTAAAGGCAAATGCTGATGCTAACCTGGCTTGCAAGTTGCTACCTCCCACCCCTCCATTCTAGACAACGCCAGATTCCTGATTGGCGAAAGCATAAAACACCACAGGATGTTGTACAATAATTTATTAAGATCCCTCCCCTCCAAGCCTTTGCAATCTCGAGATCACTTTTTCCGCTTGTAGATCTTTTTTGCTAATTCCAAGAATATGGCTGGGGGCAAGGGCGCAGAGTACTGTTCTATGAGGCTCTTGAGGCGGTTGTAACTGTCTTCCTCGTACTTCAAGAACACAGCCGGCAGATCCTGCGCTTCATACAGTGCTTTTACCTGGGCCACCTTGTCTGGATCCTTCTGCCCATAATTGTCCTGGAGACAGGAAAACGGCTTTACTTGGCTAGGTACAAAGGCCCTCACAATTCATTCACACATCCCAGAACACTGGAAAATCCATTTAGTCAACGTCTTTGTTTTAGACAGGACCTCAGAATGTAGGCCGCCTCAGATTTGAGTGCCACTTGCAGTTCTGCCTCCAACCTGTCTCTGGGGATCCAAGATATGAAGCATCTCCCCCACCCCCATCCCCGCCCCCGCCCCCACCCCCGCCCCACAACATACACACTCTAATGTTCAGGTATTGGTTCAGGATTCAGGGTTATATTTTCTCTGCTCTGTGGTTTCTCAGCCTTGGCACTGCAGTTATTGGGCAGTGTGTGTTGTCTGGCAAGACCTTCCAGAATCTTCCCTGGCTCTGCCTGCTAGCAGCACATGCACCAAACCGCAGAAGCTGTCAAATGTCTCCTGGACAGCAAAATCACATCTGACTCCCCTTAACAAAGGGACACAGCACTCCCAGCCCCCTCTTGGGCACCTCTAGGATCTGGCGCTGTTGAGGAGTGGCTCGCTGCAGACACTGAACCACCAGCCAGCTGCATTTGTTGTCCTGGATGTCAGTGCCAACCTTCCCGGTCACACTGGGGTCACCAAAGAGATCAAGGTAGTCGTCCTAGGCAGCAGCAGAAAAGGAGGGGTGAAGAGGCCCCCAGGCGGTGGGGAAAGGAAGCGCGTGCTCTGCTGCTGGCAGACCATCCTACCTGGATCTGAAAGAACTCGCCCATCTCCAGCAGGATCTTCATAGCATTGGCGTGTTCCTTCTCCCCATCAATGCCTGCCTGCAAGGAAACAGTGAGCAGCAGGACCCACAGGGCACCGTGCGCTTCCTAATACTTCCGGTGGGATTTGCTTACTACAGTCCGACCTCTAGTCCCTTTTCCTCCGTTAGGGCTCCCTGGGAGGCCAAACAAATGAGCCCACTCTAAAGGCCCTCGCCCCACCGTCCCCTGAGAGATGCAGCCATTACAGTTCCACTTCCAATTTTTTTTGGCCACCTCCAACTTCTTGCAAGATGAAAAGAAAACTTGGAGGAGGTCAGGATGGTCTGTGAACCCAGCTACTTCTGAGCCTAGCCTCTTGCCTCAGCTTCAATTTTCCTCTGCTCCTCCATTAGATACAGTACCTATATATAGGCCTCACCTCTGCTCATGCTCCAGTCTTATCTGAGCCCCCATCAGAGGGAATGAGTGGCTTGCTTGAGGCCACACAGCCATACTATGAATGTATAGGATTGTGCAAGTTATCTACTGTGCCTTCCTGTCCCAAAGCACACAAGAGAAAAAGGTGAAGGTGACACTGACTCACCATGTACATGGCAGCTGCGACAGGCAAGTAGAAAGAATAGAAAGCTGTCTTGTACTTGACAATAGATTTGTACCTGAGGGGGTCGGGGAAGATGCATTCATAAGGGCCAGGCCAATCCTGAGCCCCTCACCATGGAGACATGGTTACCACTGGCCCTCACCTCTTTTCAGTGTATCTATCAAGATCCACATGGCCCTGGGGTGCTGTGATGAGGTCGAGAGTCTGCCCGATCTCCGTTTGATAAGAACTCTATAGAGGAAGGTAACAGATGTCTTTAAACCAGGCTTTTTTGCAGGAATGGGACATGCTGGCATTCTGAGCCTCATGTCCTGAGCAGCTAACCACCAGGCAGTGAGGGAGCAGGAGAAAAAAACTCCTGCTCAAATCACGCAACAGCTTTGTTCACTGACTCTTCCTGCCATTCCACCCTTCCCAGGCAACCCTAGCAGAGCAGATGAGCATGGGCCACGGGGACAACAGCCTCTGGAGCCGCAGCCACAGCCCCAGCTGCAGCACACCTGTAGAAAGAGCTCCAGAAGGTTCAGGTAGTAGGGCTGCTCCCTGCAGTAGAACTTCAGTAGGCGGTAGATGCAGGCTTCCAGAAGCACGGCGTCATTGATGGCATCCAAGCCTATGCCTGGCTGTTAGGAACAGAGTGAAACAGGTTACCTCTGGCCAGGTCCAACCACCAGGACAGACACTCCAACCAGCTCCCTGCAGCCTGTCCACCATGCCATTCTACCTTCCAGTCTACATTACCTTCTGATACCAGCAGATCTGTCCGCGGCGAGTGAGGGAGGAGTCCATGATGTCATCCGACACAAGAAAGAACGCCTGGAGCTAGGAGGGAGAGTGAAGTAAGACTCCCAGAGCCCTGGAGGGGCCTTCTCACCCCGACAGCTGCTGCTCCAGGCATGGACTAGGAAGGATGGTGTGGGGACTCTGACGCGTTACAGGGCCTCCTCTGAGAAGCCACATGCTAATGGACTAAAACAGAACTCTTCCATATCTAATTTCCTCTAGGACATCCCCGGCAGCAGAAAGTAAGTAGGGCAAAACTTTTTGTTCTAGTAAGTGATTGCGTTGGCTAGTTTTAGGCCAATTTGAGATAAGCTATAGTCATTTGGGAAGAGTGAACGTCAACTGAAAGATGTCGTCAAAGTGCCCCGTGGGGGAAGACAGGCATTTTCACTGTGGGTGGTGCCACCCCTGGGCAGGTGGTGGCCCTGGGATGTATGAGCAGGCTAAGCCAGGCATGGTGGAACACACCTTTAATCCTGACACTCAGGAGACAGAGACCAGTTCAAGGCCAACCTGGTCTACAAAGCAACTTCCAGGACAGCCAGGGCTACACAGAGAAAGACTGTCTCAAAAAACAAAACAAGACGGAGAGAGAGAAAGCTCGAGACAGACAGACAGACAGACAGAAAACGGGCCAGTAAGCCATGAAGAACAAGCAGCATTCCTCCATGGCATCTGAATCACTTCCCACTCTGATGTCTCTCAGTGACAGACTGTTATCTGGAGGTGTAAAATAAAGCCTTTCCCCCTCCCTGAGTGGCTTCTGATCATGGTGGTTTATGACTTGAACAGAAATCGAAGACTGTGATTTTTATTTTTTTGGTTTTTGATTTTTTTGTTTGTTTGTTTGTTTGGTTTTGGTTTTTCAAGACAGAGTTTCTCGGTAGCTTTGGAGCCTGTCCTGGAACTAGAACTAGCTATGTAGACCAGGCTGGCCTCGAACTCACAGAGATCCACCTGCCTCCTGAGTGCTGGGCTTAAACGCCCAGGTGATTTTTATTTAAAAAAAAAAAAAATGGCTAGAGAGATGGCTCAGTGGCTGCTCTTGCAAGGACCCAGTTTTGGTTCCCAGCACCTACATGACTGCTCACAACCATCTGTACTCTGGTTCCTGGGGATCCACTGCCCTCTTCTGGCATCGGTAGGCACTGCACACACCTGGTACACATACACACAGGAAAAACACTCAAACATATAAAATGTTTTAATTATAAAAAATAAAATGCAGGGATGCAGCTGGGTGGTGGTGGCACATGCCTTTAATCCCAGCACTTGGAAGGCAGAGGCAGGTGGATCTCTGTGAGTCTGATCCCAGCTTGGTCTACAGAGTGAGTTCCAGGACAGCCAGGGCTACATGGAGAAACCTTGTCTGGAAGGGGGAGGAAATGAAATATTAGTTGAAAAGTTTTGTTTTTGTTTTTTAATCTATTGGGAAGCCACCTCTAAAACCCAGGGCAGATCATGCCAATCTTCCAACAGCTCCAGAGTTCCCACCCCTACCCTCTAGAGAGGAGAGGAAGGGATGGAGTGTCGGCAGGGTCTGAAGGGTCCCTCCTTTCCTCCTAAGCCCCTGAGAGTGAGTGACACTTCCAGTAACATACCAACAGCACCACCTTGGTGGTGTACTGCAGGCTAAACAGTAACATTTTTCTTTAGCGTCAAACCCCTTACGTGGCTGAGAAAGACCTTGAACTTCTTCCTCTACCCCCACGTCCCTGGTGCTAAGACCACATGTGCCTGCCATCAAGCCCGCTTTTCTGCTCCGCTGGGGACTGAACGAACGCAGGACTTCGTGCACACGAGGCAGCGAGCGCTCTGCCAACCCGGCCACCCCCGGCCTTTAAATACTCTTTACTCTTAGCCAAGGGCTCACTTAAAGTACAGGGTGTACTGTCCCTCTAGATGTCCCCAGAGCCCAGCACTGACCTCAGAGTGGTGCCTCCCAAGAGCTCTCTGTTAAGGATATGGAAGAGACTACTCAATGCCCATGATGCTTTTGGTTTTTGATTCCTTGAGACAGAGCTTCACTATGCAAGCCAGGGTGGTCTCTATCTCAGAGCTCAACTAACCTCAATACTGAACTCACAGGAGTGTATGCTAACACCAACTTTCTGATGGTGGAGGAGGAGGCTCTGTCCAGAGGAGTCTCCAGCAACAATGCCACCGTCAACTCCTAAAAGCCACCACCTTTTGAACTTCCTTATGAAAGTGTTCCCAAGTGTGTGTCTGCCAACCTTGTACAGGTCAGGCACATTTGGTGACCATTCTGCGCACAGAAGCTTCTGCACCTCTTAATAAATAAATGCTTGTTCACACACACACACACACACAAAAAAAAAAAAAAAAAAAAAAAAAAAAACACCAACTTCATTCTGTCAGAATACATGGCAATTTTGGTTATTGGGTTATTTGGTTTTGTTGTATTGTGAAGTGCTGAGGATGGAACCCAGGGCTTCACATGCGGTAGGATAGTGTTTACCACTATTTTTAACCTGCCCTCCCCACCCCAAAGTGATACACTTTTTTGTTACTATTTTTAACACACTTTTCCCTGTGATTATCATGTGTGGGGCACATGTATGCTGCAGCACACATGTAACTATCAGAAGAGGACATCAAAGGGTTGGTCTTCTCTTTCCATCTATACATGGGGTTTGGGATGGAACGCACTACACTGGGCTTATTCAGTAAGTGCCATTACACACTGAACTGTGTTACCAGCCCTCCCCTGTTAGCGGCAGGGGTATATCTGAGTGTGGGCACATCATGCAGCAGGGCTCAGAAGACACTTTTGGGAGTTGCTTACTTTCTTCTTTTATGGGTCTTAGGGGTCTTCAGCCACCCTTAATGAGCCACCCTGATATCCCCATCATTTTCAGTAGAAGTCTGGTAGTGGCTGAGAGGTAGTGGTGGCGCATGCCTTTAGTCCCAGCACTTGCAAGGCAGAAGCAGGCAGATCTCTGCGTTTGAGGTCACCTGGTCTACAGAGTGAGTTCTAGGACAATCATGGCTACAGAGAAACCCTGTCTCAAACAAACAAACAAAAAACCAACCAGAAGTCTATTACTACATTATTGAAACACCACCAAATTGGCCTACTTACTAGACCATAATTCAATACACGAGCCAGGCATGGTGGCATGCACCTATAATCCCAGCTCCTGGAAAGAAAGCTGAAGCAGTATGAAGCTAGCTTGAGCTACACAGTGAAACCCTGCCTCAAAAAACTGAAAGCAAAGGGCTGGGGATGGAGTTGAGAGATGAGTGTGTGCTTAGCACAGACAAGGCCCTGGACTTCATCAACAACTCTGAATCTCTTACCCACCTGGGAAAAAGGAAACAGAAACAAGCCATAGATATTCATGAGCAAGAAAGCTAACCACATAAAACAAAGGACGTGGGGATTGAGGCAGATCAGAGCTATCCATGGGGTTAAGTACCCTACCTCAGGGATGCAGCCTTCACTCGGCTCCAGTAAATCATTTCTACAAGTGAATATATCAAAATCTGGGTTGTTGTATGCATGCAGTGTGTACGTTTGCAAGTATGCACGTGTTGTGGTATGTACATCTTATGTATATTTGTGAACATATTACACGTGTATTTGTATAAGTTTGTGCATATGTGTTTATGTACGGTGTGGATATGCTTATACAAATGTGGAGGTCAGAAGTCAACATTGGGTATCTTCCTCACTTTTTAAATTTATATATATACATATATACATAAACACATTTTGTTTTTGTAATTATCTTTATGTGTTTTTTCACACATTTGATAAAAATATTAAAGTGAGGAAAATAAATTTGTTGAACATACTTGCAGTGGCCATGCTAATATTCTCTGTATTGTACCAAATTTAGTATATGATATGTGCTGCCAATGCAAGGCCTATTTTATTCATATGAGTGTTTTGTCTGCATGTATGTCTAAGTATCACATCCATGTCTGGTGCCCACAAAAGCCATAAGAGTGTCAGATCCCTAGGTCTGGATCCCTAGACAGTTGTGAGGCACCACATCAGTACTTCTCTAAGAGCAGTCAGTGCTCCTAACCCTGACCCATCTCTCCAGCCCCTCTACTACACTCTTTAAGACAGGGTCTATCACTGAAAATGTGCTAGACTAGCCAGCCAACTCCCTCCAGGGATCTGCATAGCTCTGTGCACCCCTGCAACAGTATTGCAACTGTACACAGCTATAGATGGGTAGTGAGGAACTGAACTCAGGTGGTCATGCTTGCCCAGCAGGCCCTTTAATGACAAACCCACTGCTCCGACTCCCAGAAATCTGGTTTGTATATGTGTGTGTCTGTGTTGCATATGTCTGTACTGTGCACATACATGGAGGCAACCAGGTATCTATCTCCATATTCTCCACCTTATTATCATTATCATTTGAGGTGAACCCTCCATCACGGAGACTGAAACTCACTGACTTGCTAGACTAGCGTGCTTCTAGTTCTGGGGACCTGCCTGACTCTGCACCCCAGCACTAACATTGCAGAGTGTGCCATCACATCTGACTTGTGTGTGCATCTAATATATGGTGTGGGCATGAGCATGTGGAAGATATCAGGTGTCCTGCCCATCACTTCAACCTTTTTCTTTGAAACAGCCTAGAAAGCCCAGCCAGCCTCCTGTCTCTGCCTGCCATGGCACCGGGATTATGTGTTCACAGCCACAGTTGGTCTTTTCCTGTGGGTGCTGGGATGCAACAAAATGAGTCTTCTGCTTGTACAGCAAACTCTCTTACCAGCCAAGCCATGTCACCAGCCTTAACTGCCCCCTCACCCCAGGACAGGGTTTTTCAGTGTAGCCTTGGCTGTTCTGGAACTCCCTCTGTAGATCAGGCTGGCCTGGAACTCAGAGATCTGCATGCCCCTGTCTCTGGAGTGCTGGGATTTAAAGTGTGTACTAGCACACCCAGGGTGGTTCAATTTAAACATTTCTGAAACTTCTCAGTGCCCATCCATCAGTGCCTGAAGTGATTCACATTGCCTAAATTTGACTGTAGCACATAAGAGACACAGAAACATAAATATAAGCAAGAAACCCCCAACTCTGGGAAGCCTCTGCCTCTCTCCACCTTCTTACCAGTTCTACACACCAGCCCACAGTCAGGGCCCGCTGAAGATTCTCAGCATCCTGTTTCCTCGGCTCCACCAGCTCCCGGAATGCTTGCAGCACAGTCAAACCCCGATTGTACTTGCCTCCCACAACATTGTACTCTAGGACCTGAGGGAGGTAGGAGGAGAGTACATCATGGCCACACATAAGAGATTTTTCCTTCCCTTCTCCCTTTCTTATTCCCAACACTCCCTTGGAGACCCCTCAATTACTCCCCTCTTCATTTCTTCTCCAAGGTCCAATGGGGCACAAGACACCATTCCCAAGTACTTGCTCCAATGCATGCTCAAGTCTCCACCCAAGCCCAGATTCAGAGCACCTACACACACACCTGGGTTGAAAACAAGGCCCCTGGTAGGGAGGGGTGGCTAATTCCTACAATCTCAATACTCAGAAGGTGGATGCAGGCAGGCTGTATGTGTTTCAGGCTGGCCTCAAGATACATGAGTTCCAGCCAGCCTTGGTTATGGAAACACAAATACACAACAACCAAAATGGCATCTATATTAGGCTAAAGTTGTCCAGAGGAGAGCACAGAGGAGAGAGCAAGGTTCAGAGTTGTTTCTGATCCTCCAATGGCAAGTCCTCTACTGGGGCCTTTCACCGTACCTTCTGCCAAGCAGCAGAGCTAACTAAAGAGACATCTCTTTAATCCCTACACAGTACAAAGAAAACACCCCTCCTTAGTTTTACCCTCAGAGATGGGACAGAATCCCAGATCCTCTGGCAATAAATACAACACCCAGGAGGCTGAGGTAAGGTGTGAGTCTGTGAGTCTGAGGGCCAGCAGGCTCAAAATGAAACCGCCTTAAGAAAATAAACAAACAGGAAAGAATAAAGAAGGCAAACAGACAACTCAAGGACAACAGCAATCGCTCCTTCCCTAAACACCGATGATAGTAACTTTCCTCAGGCCTCAGGACAACAGCCTCTTAAGTACTGTATAAACTAAGACTCTATCTAATTTCAGGGCATAAAGTAAAAACTTCACTAGGTCCAAGGTTCTACTCCTTTGCAAAGCTGTTTGGATGGTCCACCTTCTGCAGAGCCAAAAGTCGGGGAGGTAGATTGAAGTATACCAGGGATCCATTTACTCTTTGAGAGACTCAGGCAAAACCTGTAACTTCCACTCTGACCAAACGCCATGCAAGATCCACACCTCTACTGTCTTCTTCAATCCTGAATCCCTCACCTCCTTGAGCCGGGTAATGGCATCGCCAGTCTCTGGGTGGTCTAGCCCGTCCTCAGTCAACACCTTCATGATCTGGGAGAAGTGCTGGATGAAATCCTGCTTTTCTTGGTTACAAGCTTCCAATTTCTGGTTCCCATTCATTCTGAGAGACGAGCAAAATACTCTAAGGGAAAAATACACAAATGAGAGGTCTACTCTGGCACTTCCCTCCCCAAAGCCCCAAACCCCATCCACACTCACCGAGGCTGCTCTGTCCACACTTTGCACCACCAGCGGGCACTGTGCCAGGCCCCCAGGACTGGACACCCATATGCCAGGGAGGGTCGTTGTAGGGAACCAAGCCACCTCTCCCGGGGTGCCCAGCAGGGGGCCGGCAACAGGAAGACCCCTGCAGATCTCAGCAAGCGGGACAGGGACATCCTGAGTGGGCATGGGGGCAGGGGCACCAAGCACTCCCTGCAGGAGCAAGCACCGAAGGCAGATGCTTGGTAGCAGTTACCTGATACCCCCAAACCAAGCTTTTTACCTCCTGCATCAAAATGCCCTACCCTGTTGCAGCTTGAATTCAAGAATTACAGAAAGGAAATAAAAATGTGTTGGGGTGACTGAGATCCAACGAATCTTCACTTAAGCCGAAATGACTAAAAACTGAACGTTTTCTACTTCCAAGGCTCCATTCACAAGGCTGGGGAGACGGTACCGAGAATTAGGGGATCAGAATCATACTATAAATGGAGAAGCCAAACTGAAGTTCTGGGGGTAGTTAGATAGTTAGAGGTCCGCGTGCAGGGGAAGGAGGTGGAGGCTCAAGGTCTGAGCTACGCCAAAGGATAGGACTGCAACCGATGGTGCTGAGGGCGTGTGATCTGGAACACCGGCCCTGGTACTAAAAGCTGCCGGCCTCGGAACAACAGGTGGGCGTGTGAGGGCTCTGCAGGAGTAAACCCGCGCAAATCCAGGACTTAAGGAGCATACCAGCGCAGAGTTTAGAAACTGTGCTGCTCAGTCGAGTCCTCGGACCCCGAGGCCGGGAACTCCTACAATAGGCTGGCCCTTCGGCGCCTCAAAGCTTCACCAGATCTGAGGCACAAGCACGCCTCAGATCCAGCCCCAACAAAAGCTCTCACCTGTTTTCAACGCGAATTCTCCTGGTGTCCAAGATCTTTGCGGCTTACACCTATCTAAAAGCGGAGCGCGCTACACGCTCAGCACTCTGGGGCTTGTAGTTCCCAGTGTCTGGGCTCAATAGATTGAAACTATGTATAACACTATGACTCCCAGCATGCCGAGGACCAGACCACGGAAAACGCAGGCGTGTGCAGCTGGGTAGACGCAGCCGAGTTCGTTGATTGGCTGGATGACCTCGTGTGAGCATGGGCCTTGTGACGACTGACCAATGAAAGGGCGGCGCGCGGACCATCAGCCCACTGAGATGTGGGCGGTGTTAGGCGACAATACACCCAGATCTGGGAACCAGGCCAAGTGGTACCTGGTCCTCCCTCTTTCCAGTCCGTCTGGTTCACATTAAGACCCCGGAATAACTAGTCTTACAGCTTCCTATTTCCAACGCAGGCAAATAATTTCTTATATCTTACATCTTAGATTCTAACTGGGTGTGGCAGCTCATTTTTCCAGCTCTTAGGAGGGTGAAAATTCGAACAGTTTTGGATTATACAGTGAGTTTTACACTACTCTGAAGACTATATGACTGTGTGTGAAAAAAACAGAAACGCTTCATCCTAGGGCTGGAGGTGGCTCAGCGGTTAAAAGCACCAACTGCTCTTTCACAGAACCCGGGTTCAACTCCCAGTACTTACATGGCGGCTCAGAACTGTCTGTAACCTCAGTTCCAGCAGATCAGAGGCCCACACACAGGCAAGAACACCGATGAACATGACATATAAATGAACTAAAAAGACAAGCAAAAACAACCCGGTTCCCTTGAGGCAAAAAAAAGATAGTAAGACCTTAAAACAGAAGTTTGAACTGTGGCCCGGGGTTCTTTGTACTCCCTCCCAAACCATTCCAACCAGGAAAGTCAGAGACCTAACACTAAAGAATTAATGGATTTGTCATTGTAGTGTTAGAAATAAGACAGGGTCCCTAAGAAAGAGGACACTACCACTCCCAAATGAAGGGCAGTTGGTTGAAGTGTCTGGACAAGACAAACTTTATTCTAGTATGATAGTGGCCCCCACCCCCATGCCCGGGAGAGGTGTTTGGATCTCACAGTCTTAATTCAGTTGGCTAGTCTTTAAAGAACTGATGCACCGGAAATGAAGGATGAAGGGGAAAGAGGTCACTGTTCCTGGCCATCAAATTCCTGAATCACATGTTCCTACATAAACAAAGGACAATTATTTTGTTTCTTTCTTTTTTTTTTTTTTTGGAGGAGGTTAAAAAGATTTTAAATCCTTGTCCTACAAGCACATTTTATAGGATTTGATAGAAAAGGCATGTTTAAAATTTCTAACTAAGAAAACTAATAGGTTTTCTGTACCCCACTAATAAGTTTCTCTGCCAATGCAGTAAGTCAAATCAACACAGGTTTATTCTGAACAAAGCAACTCCCAAGTGAATCCTCCAGCCCCAAGAGATCAAGGCTGGAGAAGGCACAGGAGAAATCACATGTCTGAACTGTAGCAATGAGTTTAAATACCCTGCAGGTGAGGGGTGATGACATGCCCTCCATAAGCTGGGCTTGTGCCCAAGTATGGTATGCTTTAGGTGCAGTCTTGAGGTGCTTGCAACTTCAGAAGAGGAGCCCAGCAGCCACCAAGAATGTGGAACTGGGCTTTTTGGCCGCTCTTTGTTAGAGATTCTCTGAGGGAGAGAGAAAAATGGAGCTTTCCAATCGAGCTAGAAGTTCCAGAAAAACAAATTCAAGTCACCATACAGAGTTATCTATTTTTTCTGCTACTATACCACATCGAACTGGAAGGTAGAATAGGAGGAATTCTACAAGAAACAAACAAACAAAAACAAAACAAAAAACAGAAAAATATGAGATGAAAACAGCTGTTCCAGGCATGCTTAAAAAGAGACAATCCACAAGAAAGCTGGTGAACCGGGTTGGTGGTGCATGTCTTTAATCCCAGCACTTGGGAGGCAGAAGCAGGTGGATCTCTGTGAGTTCGAGGCCAGCCGGTTCTACAGAGCAAGTCAGGACAAGTTCCAAAGAGAAACCCTGTCTCGAAAAGAAAGTTAGTGAAAAGTTTTTGCACCTCCTTAAGCTTCTCTGATGACTCAGCAATCCAAATCAGACCAAATAACCAAATTAGAAAAAGCCTACATTTATAACACTCAGGGATGATTTTCCAGCCCCACCCCCACCCTCGCCAAGAGAGGAGATGGAAAAGGGAATAATGTAAATACCCTGTGGGAGTAGTCTTGAGCATCTCTGGGGGAGGGGTCAGCATTTGGTGGGTTTTCTGAGATGAGGCTGGGTTTGGAGAGACGGAGATGGGGGAGAGACCTTCCATAATACGTCATAATTATATATAAGTGGAGGGAAAGAGAAGCGGGGGGACTCAATCAAATTAGAAACCTGGCCACAAGAGGCTCTGATGCTAGGAAAGGGCATGAACCTGAGTTCACACAAAAAGCAATCTTTGATTCTAGTTTTCCCCTCCTCTTCCACATGGGCTTTCTACCCCAATATCACAGCGCCATGGAGCTGTCCAGGGCCATTCACATCATGGCACCTCTGCTGACAATTCTTCTGTCTTAGTCTTCTGAGAGTACCAGCGTGAACCACCACCAGGCCAGCTCAGGGCTGTATTTATGGCAGATGGGGATCTTAGAAGTGGCTTTGGGGAGGAGGGTACAAGGAGACAGAGCCCCATGCATGCATGACAGCTCCAGGTGAACAGCCCACAGAGCACTGTCTTTTTCATTCTCTCTAGAGCCTCCAACCACAGAGCAGCTGTAGAGTCCTTCTGCATTCAATCTATTCTCACTTACAGGAGCCTACCAGAATTCCTGTTATGGGCAGTTTTCCCACCTGGTCCCACAGCCTCATCAGCCCCAAATAACACACAGAGACACTGTATTAGTTATAAAGCTGTTGACCTGTTACTAGTGTTTCTTATTGGCTGTGTCTTAAATATTAATCCATTTCTATCCATCTATGTGCTTCCATGTGGTCTTACCGCAGAGACAGTCCGGAACCTTCTTCTCTCAAGTCCTTACATCTTGACTCTACTACATCTCCCAAAATCCTCCTTGTCTCCTAGTCCCTCCTATCTTGCTTTCCTATTGGCCAACAGGGCTTTAGTCATTAACCAATAAGAGAAACATATTTTCAGAATGACATCTCCCATCATCTCCTCTTTTCTGACTAAATAAAAAGGGTTTTAACTTTAAAATAGTAAAATATATAACAAAATAGTTATCAAATAAGAACTATAGTTAACAATATTTAGTCCATTAACATTTAGCAAGATTTAAAGAAAATATTTCATCATCTATCCTATATTTGTGAGTCTAAAGTCTTATATGTAACTTATCTTTAATCCTAAGGAAAACTATAACCATAGCTATCTGTTTTCAACTCCATCAAAGACCACAGAAGGATAATATATAAACTCTAGAAATAACAGAGACAACTCACCTGGTCACACAAAGTTCTGCAATGTTGCATCTTCAGCCTATAGGCCATAGTGTGTCTGGCAGACTCCTCAGCAAAACAGGAAATTTCAAACTGTCCCACCTGTGTTGGCAATTTGTCAGTCACTTTTCTTTGTGTCCTGCAGACTGTCTGGCAGACTCTTCCATGAAGCAGGAACCCTACAGCAATGTCCATCTTGTTTCAGCAGTCACTTTTCTGTGAGTCCTGCATGTCCAGTTTATACAGCATAAAGTCTAACAGTCCAGACAAGAGCAGTATCTTGCCCAAATGGATAGGCTTCCATATTGGAAGTAAACTCCATAATGAGTTTCTTCGATGTCCATCTTCATTTGTGACACAGGTGGTGTTGCTAGGAGCAGTTATGTCTCACTGTTAAGGAAAACATTAAGCCATTTTAAATGCCATGTACTGTAGGTCTTTGAAAGGTTTGAAGAATGCCTATTCATTTGAAATATATCTCTGTATATCTAGAAAACCTAACTGACTTACCTATAAGTTTTGACTATTATAGGTAACTATATAAAATCTGTACTAAATTATAGATTTTTAAATGAGCTATATAAACACAATACCTAAACAAGAGGAAAAATATACATATCACAAAATTGACCTTAAATTGTATCAATAAATGAAAATCCATTTCTATACCATAGACTCCTACTGAGCTTGAGTGACTTTTTGCAACCGATACTTTTTGACAACATTCTTGCCTGGCACGCTTGAGCTTGATCTCCAAGACCAGAAGGACCATATCTGGCATGCTCACCCCTCAGAGCCTTGAGATGCCCTTTTTTCCTCTGAGTA